TTCAAACTATTATCGTACAATAAGCTTCTGGTGGTATAGATACATACACTACCTTTCTTTAGAGATTGTACACATAACTTCAATTACAGCTATAGTTTTTAGCTGTGGCTCTGTAATCTCAGATAGAGTGAACCTATATAAAAAGACTTCATTCGATGTTTTATTGTTGATTTTGCCATTCACATGTTATTTACGTCTTACCACAAAACTACACAATGGGCTGTCTCCACGCTGTCGACCGCGAGGAATCGAACTCCAGATTTTAGCGTTGCAAGTCCGCAAAATTACCGCTGACCCACCGGGGGAATCATCAAAATGCAGGAAGGTCAATCTTGGTTTGTTTTGTACAAAATAGTATTGTAGCTAACCATTCTTTAACGAGCAGGCTATAAGTTACAGTCTTACAAAAATAGTACCTGTTGCATAAACTGGGTTTTCCTCGTGGTATATTTTAAAGGATTTCAAACTGATATAAATATCATCACTGGGTAGTACGATATCTTCCTCAGTTCTTTGGCCCTGGACGGATTATGTATACTAATGTAATTCATTTTGTTTGTTTTTTATATGTTGTTTTAATTCTGAAAACCCCATGATTGTTATTTTCTGTTGCAACTGTCTAATCATTTGCGTTCATTAGTTCCTATCCTGTTAATGTGTTTATTTACACAGTTTTTAGAAAGCTGTTGTAAATGTGTTCATAATGCTTTAACTTTATATTTTTATTGAAACATTTCGCAACAGTTTAAAACAGTTTCTATTTGTCTTCATGGACACTGATAATAACAAATTGACATTTCTCTAAAATACAGATTGATTAATACTTAATTTATATCCTTACTTGTTAACTTATACCTCTACACCTTTCATCCTGTGTATATAATTGGTATATATTGTTCTTCGTGTTCACTCTTTGTACGCAATGGTCAGAAATGTGTGTCGTTAAAATTCTCACGATTTTAATTTATTTCTCGCAGTAATCGTAATTACATACACCAGAATGTTCATGATTATCATTTTTTGAACATGGTTACTATAACTGTATCTTATTAGAATGTTCATGAGTTTCGAATTGGTTCAAACTCTTCAATTCACTGATAACATGATAATCGGTTTCGAACAGACATATGAGCATCTGTGACAATGTCTTGGTGAACTGTCTTTACAACAGATGGCAGCAGTAGTAACAATGGTATTCTCTACTCTTTCAGAAAAGGTGAATCCCCGACCACGGACTAAGAAACTATATATATATATATATATATATATATGCTATAACTCTAAATTTACTATGTGTATCTTCTACGAAAACTTTTAAGTTAAACAATTAAAAGAAATAGATGTACACACACACACACACACACAGAGCTTGTTTTAACCTTTTTCATATCCATTTTCTTTTATGGATTTATTACAGTATTTTGTACTCATACCAACAGTAATAATCGCGACAACAAGGCGTTAAACAGTCCTCCGGTGGGTCAGTGGTAAGTTTATAAACTTACAACGCTAAAATACATGATTCGATTTCACGCGGTCGACAAAGTACAGGAAGCTAACTGTGCAGTTTTCTAGTAAGAACTAATTAACAATAATTATATTATATTTTCTTTAAAGTATATCATTCGTTAAAATGAGACTTAAATGTACAAAATCTTTTGGATTTAAACTTGTAAACAAGCAAACTAACTGAAGCAAAATTAACATTTTGGAAAAAATTTAACAATTTCATAATAATCTAAGAATTCTTCAACACTGTTCTTTACTTCAGTAACTTTCCGTTATGTGTATTAACAAGTGAAAATAAGTCAATGTAATATCCTTTAATTAGTTGAAAAATATATTGTCTAAGCTAATTATGAATTATTTAATGCAGGATTTTTATACAAGACGATCCTTTTGACTCCATACAGGAATGAAATTATCCTAGTGTTCAATCTCGGGACTTATTTGATCTGTTTCTCGTCCAAATCGCATGCCTTCCATCGTACTGTTAGAAAGCAGACACTCTATGACTCACAGAATCTAAGCTATTATAAAATGACGACATTAGTTCTTGTTGGTAACAAAATCACGAAGATAAGTTACTTAGCAGCTTCGCTGTCAGTAAGTATTAACCCATTCTGATAGCCTCATCTGACTGTGTGATTTGTATAATAGGTCAATAACGATAAATATATCCAAACGACGCGGTTTTTGGCTAATGCACTGTGATCGATACCCGCCCCTGTCATTAGTGTGTATAATGTCTTTTTATCATTCAACAGAATGTACATCAAAACCAAAACAGCGACATCGGGGATAAATTGACAATTGTGAAATTTTTAATTTAGGTGTCTATTTGAAATGTACTTGTTTATTTAAAACCAACAAAACAATGAACATTATTGAAAACTATCGAACATTTTTTTCTGTAGAATGTCAAATAAAATGTATGCTTGTACTCTCTGCGAGTGTTGTTATAAGAAACAAGGCTGTATGTATTTTCTTTGTTTTAGCAAAGTCCTTTGTTGTATAGATATATGAGTACCAGCATATTTCTTTATTGAAAATTTCATCCCTGACTCCAGGTGTAATATAATGAATTAATAACAACTGAAAACTTGTTTTTGTGACATCACTGTCATATCCTCTTATCACTTTACATTTCCAAATAACTAGATTTACATTTAGTTTGGTAATAAGATGCATTTTTCGTGTAAAACAGAAATAGTCTAATGAACTACACTATGTATGTGGAACTAAACAATTTACCATCTATCACATATATTTCATACACATACATATATATATATATATTTGGATTACGATCATTCGCCAGTGTAATGCTGCTAGGATAGATTTATGGCTGGAGCATTTCGTGTAATGATATTAATAAGGACGTGAAGTCAAGTGACATAGTATTTCGAAAAGTTAGTCTTCTGTTTTCTGCACAGAAGCAGAAAATCTCGTACAGCAAAGCCATAAAAAAGGCAACAGGCTCCAAAACGGCACCAAGGCATGTGTAGCGTGGTAAGGTGTTTGTTTGGTTCGAATTGTACGCAAAGCTACTTGAAGGCTATCTGCGCTAGCCGTCCTTAATTTTGAAGTGATAGACTAGAGGTGAGGTAGCTAGTTAACACCACCAACTACCAACTCATGGGCTACGAATAGTGTGATTGACCGACACATTTTAACGCCCCCACAGCTGAAAAGGCGAGCATGTTCGAGGTTGGGATTCACAAAACCTGCGACCCTCAACTTGTGAAGACAAATGTTGAAAGAGTTTGTGGTCGCCACAAATTTATAATCAGTCAGAAAGATCTCGTTCACTAGTTTGTTGTTAAACACTAAACTGCACAATGGGCTAGTTGTGCCGTGCTCAGTGCAGGGACAGAACCATAATTTTAACGTTATTAGCCTTACCTTTAAGCCACTAATGGGGAGAAGCATAGAAGTTAGAGCTGATTTATATGATATTGAAATTAAGTTATATGAGAAAGTACATAACTGTGATCAAGATTTTGGCTGTTCACAAAAATCACTGCAGTTTTATTGAATTATTTAAGTAAGCATAGAGTGATATTTCAGTTAAAGTCACGTGAAAAACTGGATAAGTATGATTTTAGGAAAAATGGTTAGGTGCGATTTTATTTAAAAGAAATGACTAGTATAATTTTTATGAAAAATGTCTAGGTATAATTTCATGAAAACTAGTTGAGTATAATTTTAAACAAGTGCGTAAAATGTTTACAGACAATTATTGTGTTTCACTGAACTATTTGACAAGAATGCTTATATAGTGATTATTAATATTTATTAAAATTTAATCAAGCATGTTTATTATTGAGCAATTTAGATATAATATTCAGGATTTTACAGATATTTTGATAAAGTATATAAAACCTAAAATTGCATATAATAAATACATAAAACTTTAATATGCTAACAGAAAAGTATAGAACATAAAAGGCTGCAATTGGGCAGGGGAACATCTCTAAATAATCTAAAAGTTGCGCAACTGTCAAAAGGGATTTTACACTATTTATCGAAAACATATTATTTTTCAGCCGTTACAAGGTAGTATATTTAAGTTAGCGACATCTAGCGACAATCCATCCTATTATCCCTCCCACTAATGTTTTCTAAAGCCGTGTTTTTAACTCAACAGAATTAAGCACACAGAACGCTGGTTTCAAAATAGCTCTATTTTCTTGTTTTTACTTTCTTTCAGAAAATGAGGTTATGAAAGTTACACATGGTAAATAAGCTTATATTCTACATTTTTGTTACGATGACAAATAAACATGCGCTGGTATGGAGGTGTTTTGAAACCAATAATAATCCTCAGATGACCGGTGTAGGCAGCTCAACCCACATCTAGTTTTTTTTTTTGTTATTATTTTGTTTTTTACTGTTACCGAATGATTTAACCCGATCTGATGTAATCATAATATATCCGGACAACGAATACACCACGACGTTTTTATACTGTAAGTATTTTAACACAACGAACATGTAGCACTGTTACCATTTGCTCAGTATTATTCCTCTACGTTATTGCTAGGAATGAATTCAAAGAAAGACGTCCACCAGATATAGGCCTAAATTACTAGCATTGTATTTATATCTTTTAGGGTTAAACGTAAAAGTAAAAGAGTATCTCTTTCAAATAATCTAAAATATCGATAAGACACTTGGATAGTTTTAGATCAAATCATGCTAAATTAATAGGAAACTTGCTATATGTGTGTAACTCACTAAATGTGTAATAGGATATTCTTGTATCTGAGCTTATCGATTTTACAGCAGTGTGGTATTTTTTAAAGAGTAAAAAAAAAAACTGAAGTCGGTGAGTGAACACACTTTATGAGCAAAGTGGCGTTTGAAACGAACGACTACTTACCGTAATAGGTGTTATCAGAACATATGTTGCTACTGAATTTCAATAATTAAGGTATTTTGAAGGATATTAATTTTGAAGATTACGATATGTTCACAGTTAATGATCCATTTTTTAGGGATGATTAGAGGGTTTCAAAGCTTTACATGTCTGACCTGTGGTCATCTGAATCACTGTCCGCGGTGAGAATTAAGCGATGTACCCCACCTTACCTTCCGTAAGTATTTACAAATTTGGTATTTTATTATTATTATCGGAGTATTATGTTATATTTCACTGTTTTCCTGGATTATTGCTTTTCGTTGTTATTAAAATTCGAAATGTAACCTGGTTATGCTTACATACATTTACATATATCAAAACTTTTACTTTACCGAAAAGTACCCACCTGTGCGGGCGGGTAGGGGGTCCATCAGGAAAGTGGCATTTGTTATAAACAATGTTTATATTTTCAATGAAGTTTTATTATCTTTCATAGTTTGCAAATATTGTCACGAGCATGTGATTAGTAGTATTATAAAATTTTGTTAATGTTGAGTGTGTTTTTGTATATATATATTTCATCGTCTCAGCTACTGTTCTTGCTGATATTTTACAAAAACAGTCTGATACACTAAAAATCTACTTATCTATTTACTTTTGTTATATAATCAAATAAAACATCTCTTTATTTCAGAAGTATATCTCTATATGTATATATTTTTTTTTATTTCCCTGGAGAAACCTCTTCATTTATTATCTCCTACCCTCCTTCTGCTTCTTTTTTTATGTTTCTGTATTGATACTTCTCGTATTTTTTCTCTCTTCCGCTTTTCTCTTTTCTTCTCTTTCTATCCAGATTAATTATTTTTGTTTCTTATTATGTCTTATTCTTTTTATCTGCCTTTCTGTGTTTCCTAGTTTTTGTATCCTTATTTTAGTTATCAAATATTTTGAAACATCCCGGTGTTTCTTACCTCCTTTGATACGATTTATGTACTGAACCACTTGACGTTACTTAATATTTTTGAAGTTATGTAAATATTAAACATTCATAATTTGAAATGAAAATATGTAAATACTTAAAGCTATTTTTCTCACACAGAAAAAATCTTGAGAAGCCATCTCCACCATTCAACTATAAAAAGAATAATTTGTTCTTTTTATTTCGTGATAATAATACAATTAAACATGAAATCATAAAATTTAATGTTACGCTAGACTGACGTCATGTAAATCTTATAGTAATTTCGTAGCATCCACAATCAGTGAAATCATAATACGATCTTAAAAAAGCCGTGTGGTTTTTACAACTATTTTACGTCACAGAGCTGCCCTCTAATAGCTACATGATTTCGACAGATGTTTGACGTCACGTTATTGTCTCACAGAGTTAACTGGTTTTTACGGCCAGTCGGTGCGACAATAATGTCATTTGATTGTTACAGTAATGGATTATGGACAAATTCCTGCTTGATTACAGATTTTTGTTTTTTTAGAGATTCCCAGGTAGCGGTTAACATTTGTTCTGGTGTACTAAGTACCATTACTAGCTCTCGTTAAAGAAATAATAGGTTATTAATTAAAAGTAATAGATTATTTAATAAGATTTACAAGTTATTTAAATTGGATGAAACGATAGTCACTCAAATATGAAAAGAAAAGTGATTAGTGAGGAAAAATAGCCTGATAACCAAAACGTGAGATAAAATAAAGATAATCAAATGAAGCAATGTTATTTAAATAATATTATAAGATGAAGTTAGTAGTATTTTTTAAATTGTTTATGAAATCGTGGTAGCAAATTGCGTATCACTGTTACGAAGGCTGTCATTAAAATAGGTCTTATTCATTGTGTTTATTATCATTATAACGTAACTTTAGGACAGCGGAGACATTTTTATTGTGTGAAAGTATTCTTTTACGAACGACGAAAAATAAAAATTTCCTCCACCACAAAACCAATTCGAAATTAACCGTCAATGATTTATTTTTATGTCAAGTTTCAATAAGTTGTCTTGTCTTCATTTCTTAGGATTTGTTTTTATTCGAGAGATATTAAGTCTAGATTACATCATATTCATCACAATATAACTGATAGGTGTTTCGTCAATAATTCATCACGATGAATGATAGATGTTTCGTCAATAATTCATCACGTTAACTGATAAATGTTACATATATAAATCCTTTACGTTAAATAATAAATTTTAAGTCTACATTTTATCGGATCTAAGCCTAGATATTTGTCGTACTGTGATATGCGGGCATATAATATGTTTTATACCTGCTTTAGTGATATAGATTTTTTTATAATTTTTCGGTAATTTAGTTTCTGTGCTGTAAAATACTACAAATAGATAGGAAGGAAAAATTTCGGTGTCATGACATCAGTATTTATTATAGAGTTTCTCAAATAAGTTATGGTTTGGTTTGTAATGAATTTCGCACAAAGCTACACGAGGCTATCTGCGCTAGCCATCCCTAATTTAGCAGTGTAGACTAAAGGGAAGGCAGTTAGTCATCACTACCCACCACCAACTCTTGGGCTATTCTTTTACCAACGAATAGTGGGGTTGACCGTCACATTATAACGCCTCCCATGGCTAAAAGGGCGAGCATGTTGGGTGTGAGGAGATTCGAACCCGCGACACGCAAATTGCGAGTCGATCGCCCTAACCACCTGGCCATGCCGGACCATTCTCAAATAAGAATGTGTACGCTAGCACTTACTTGATCTCATGCGTTTAAAGAGTTTCAAGGAATGCTTCTAATAAAAAGAATGGCAGTTTCTGGATGTAGAAGTATTCACAACCGAGAGTGAGAATTTATAAGCCGAGAGTGACAATTGTGTGGGAGAGATGTGGAGTCTAGGAGAAGTCCTCTCCTGGACATAGAACTTTCACTGATTCTGCAAAGTCCGTGATGTTGGTCAGTTTGCATCCATTGACTCATGTCTGGTACACCCAGCCCAATCGAGCAGACAGTAGTCCTGAGGATTGATCTCAGCAACGAGTAATGTAGACGAATGTGGTTTACCAGAATGGTTTGGAACTTGGCAAACTTGAAACTGCATGGAAAGGTCACTATCAAACTCCCAGGAAGAAGCTAGCCACAGTCAGTAGCCCAGCTCTAGTAAAGACCACCAGTAAATAGTAGACGTAAGCTAAATTTGCCACTGATGGATGATTTCTGCTAGTGAAAGTGATCTTCCTGGCAGGTGAGGTAATGGGCAGGCACGGGCGAAGACCATGATCCATGGTGTGAGTTACATTTCAGCGCAGAAAGGTTCCGTGTAACAATGACTGCAGTTAGCAACACCTGGAGTCATGCAGGGCTGTATAATGAGCCACTGTGATTAGTTCATCACCCTGGACCAGGGACTGGCCACCCTTGGGATATCATAGTTTTTGTAAATGACTTTCATCTGAAACTAATGACATCATCGGCATCTCCTCCTGATATCTGTTGGTAGTACAAAGGAGAGAGGCTTTGGCCTGGTATGCAAGACCCTGTGAGCAAGACCAAGTAAATCACGCTCCCAGTGTTAAGGGGACAGCAAGGGAGAACCTGGATCAGTCCTTGATGTGTCTTATGTAGGTCACTGCCTGAAACGGATGGTCTAAGAAGCAGGCTGTGAAATGCCTGGTCCCGAGCATTGACAGTCCAGTTCTTGATGGCATTTCATTGCACAAGCACCATTGCTAGGAGATGGCACCTTAATGGATGGAAGCCAGGACCCCTCTACAAATGGAAAGAAAATTGATTGAAGCAAAGGACCACTCATCCATCAAGATAGGAAGACAGGCTAGTTTAAGCTGCGTTAACCTGGTGAGGGTCTGAGCAAACCTCAAGGCATTTATAGCCACCAATGAAAAGACAATGGCAACACTGGAAGCTCTGCTGGTAGGGTTAAGCGAGAAGCTTCAACCACTTCTAAGATAAGTGATTATTTTGTATATAGCTCATTTAATATAATTTTGTATATTTTGTATTATATTTTTAATTTGAAGTGTTTTTCTGCCTTCTGCGCTCATGAGTGCATTAGGAAGACAAAGGCTTAGTGTATGTTTTGTTTTTTTTAATTTATGTGTGTAAATAGTTGGATTTTTATTTAATTTTAGTAGTGATGTGTCTTGGCTCTTTCACGCATATTTACATACATGAAACATCAGAGATTTACATTTTAACCGTCTCACAACAGGTAAATCAAAGTGTACATATCATGACCTTTAACAGAGTTACATTCAAAACTTAATCAAACTATTTTATTACCAATTCATGCGAATAAACTTGGCATAAACAAGTACTTAATAAATTAAGATTTAATGGAAATATTTAAAGGAAATATTTTTTTAAAACTTCAATTTCCCCTAGTATGAGAATCATTACATTTGTTCTCTAGGTCTTCCCTCTTCTGTAATTTATTTAACACCCCTCTTTGAAGTTCAAAATTTAACGTAAATTACTTTTTACAATAAAAATATTAGTAATGCAAGGTCTAAATTTTATCAGCCACTTACCACATCCACCTGTCACATCCTCTTTCACAAATTGTCAATAATTCTCTCAGACGTTTTACATCATGTATAACAAATAGAAAGGCAAAGCTATAGTCTATCGAATAACATATTGTTGCGTCATCGAGATCATGTGATTCTCACGCTCTCTCCTTTCTTGAATTACCCTTCCCCTCTTTTATATATCCGCCTACCCTATATCTAGTAAGAACTAGAACATTCGCCAAAGTACAGGTAATGTGTGTGTAGATAGTGAGTAATTGAACTGCAGTCACCGTAACTTCGTTACGAAACTTAAGCGACACAAGTCCTTTCTTAATAAAACTAGTTTATTCTTTCCGAATATAACTTTTACCGATACACTCAACTTCAACAATCGCGCTAAACAAACGCTGTAACGTCTCTCGTGCTCTCCAAGTCTTTACTTAATAAAACTGGTTTATTCTTTCCGAATATAACTCTGCGATACACTTAATCTCAATACTCGCGCTAAAACAACACTGTAACAACGAAGTTACGTCTCCGTGTGTTAATTAAATTGGTGTCAGAGAGTGGGATAGAAAAAAAAAGAGACGAAAATAGGAAACGAGAGGCGGAAATCAAACTACAGCTTAGCAGATTTGATGGCAGCAATACAAAACAAGAGGAGAAATTACAGCAGTTGTTGGAGGAGAAAGAAATAAACAAGAA